ACTTTACTTTAATAAAAATATATTTATATTAATTATTATTATTATTTTTATTAATAAATACATTTTATAAACAAAAAATTAATAGTTTGAATTAAAACCAACAAAAAAAAAGAAAAATTTTTAATTATTTGGATAGTTTTAATCTCTGATAAACCAGAAGAAAGAATACATTCTTATTTAAGAATTTTTATTAATTCCAATTATATATTTGACTTTAGATATAATTTGAATTTATGGAAATATTTAATATTGAATATAGGAAAATGATGTTTCAACCTCTACCAAAAATGTTACAAGATGAAACATATTTATAAACTTTTGAATTATTAATTTTTCTCATGTATATTTTTTGCAAAAATATATTTGTAATGAAAGGATTAGTAATCACCAATTAAAACATGCAATAAGTAATAATAATAATCTATAGAATGCAAAGTTTAATTTTTAATAAGTCTGAAATTTCAAATTGAATGATCTAAATAATAACAAATATGAATGTATATAAAATCATCTAGTTTTTTTTTCTTTTTTCAAGACTGCATTTTTCTGTAAATACGAGAAATTTTTATACAATAATTGGTAGTTATATAATTGATATAATTAGCTAGTATATGCAATCTTTAGATATATAAAACTCAGCTGCAATTGTTTACATGTAAATTGTTAACGGTAAACTAAGTATCTGAGTTTTATACATGGTATAATTTACGCATTTATTTTTATTTAATATTTGTTTGTATGTACATTCATATCATTTGTTCAGTCTTTTTATATACAGTATTACCTCACTTCATGCACCTTGTTTGGGACTGATCGCTATTATCAAGTGTAAAAGCATAGCAAGGATCCATTTTTTTTTCTTTTTCTTTTTTACCTATTCCATAAATCTTCCTCATGATTCACCCAGGGCGAGAGCAAGATAAAAAGGGCGAATGAGAAAAGGAGAATAAGAACAAATAATTTTTAGCATTAAATTTGAATGTTAAATAAAGTTTATTCAGATGAAGAAGATTCGCACTCGCTTAAGACTCGCTTAAGAAGATTGGATGATTTAGTGTCGTAAAATGAAACGAAAAAACATTTGTGAAGTGAGATAGTACTGTATATATATCCTCATGGGTGCTGCCTGGTATGACGTTGCCATGGTTGCGGATGTCAGAGCTACACCTACTTAAACTCTAAGCAAAAGCTTAAAGGGAGAGAGTATCTCATGGGAAACCTATATGGTCTGGTTGTTGTATGTTTGCAGTGGCAATAGACCTAATAGTGCACCACATCTGGGATATTTTGCGTTTGAAAAAGGCCGAAAATTCAACCGGGCAGCATCCATTCTTCTACCAGCATAGGCGTACCTCGGCCTCATCCGACACACTCAGCAGATGATTTAAGCATGATAAGCTCACTCTGTCAAGCACTGCATTTTTTTTTACACCATACCCCTACGTATGACTGAATACAATACTGATAATTCTTTTTTATTTTAAATACTCGGATAGAAGTAATGTCCGTTTTTCAATACGGAATTAATCGCACATTTAAATTATCAATATAATTTAATAACAAATAGATTGATAAATACGTGATATATAAGGATAAATGGTTGTTAAGCAAATGAAAGAAGAAACAAATGAATTTGAGAAATATTTTTGTCATAATATTAAAATATCTGTCGTCTTGCAACAAATATAAAATTATCATGCAAGACTGAATTTATGTTTCATTACATTTTATTACATATTTGTTTCTACTGTGATATGTATACAAAAAATGTATACTAAATTATTAAGCATAATTTTTTTTTATTAATTCAAGTTTTTAGAAATATTGGTGAAAACGGACATTGTTTTCCCCCTAAATACATGATCTTTGTGGGATTATATCTTATTCTTATATGACAGAGAGAATGGCTTTTTATATGTATTTTATCCTGTATGAACATTTTTGTGTGAGTTTTGAAATGTAATTTTAAACCAAAGAAAATGCATGAAATTGTGTAGATTCAATGAAAGATAGATGAATTAGAATGTATTTATAGCAATTGATATCAATGAAACTGAACTTTTCCAACTATTTTCCAATTCTGAATTCGGTTTCCAATATTTTTCTATTTCTTCCTATATTGTCAATATATTCCAGCAGCACTTGGTATCCTTCATAATGCAATTTATTGAGAATAATACAATATCTCTAACATTTTTTTATATAAATTATAGTAATATATTTAAAGAATATGCAATATAATCGTTAGAGTAAAGAAAAGATGTGATATAGAAGGAGCTTTGCTTTAAAAATATATCTTGATTCATATATCTTGATAAATTAAAATTTTCTCGTTTCTCTAGAAAAGAGGAATGAAGGTAAGAAATCGTAAAAAGATATAAAACGCGATTAAACAATTTTGAAAGTGGTTTCCTGATTTAAAAGATTAGGAATTCAATATTCTCTATAATGAATTTCTATAAATTTATTTTAATTTCTATTTTCATTTCCTTGTAAAGACATTATTACTTAACATTATTTATATAGCTATCTATGGTCACTCAAGTTTCTGGACAAATATCTCAAGTATTATGCAAAAAAATCTATATACATAATATGTATGTATGTGCGCGTGATTGTGTCTGTTATATGTATGTGTATATTTTTGTGTATAAATATAGGTATTACTTAAAGTTTTAGACTTTTTTTATGCCTTTTTTTTTACTTTCAATCGCTTCAACATGTTTTGCATTTTTGCATAATACTTTATAATATAAGCACATACAAGTATTCTTTAGAGAAAGCATAATTATCTGAGTTAATTTATCTAGTTTGACTTATTTATGTATCTCGAAATAAATATTCATCTACCGCACTCATAATATTGATTCTTGTACATAGGTATAAACATACAAGAGATATGCCAAAACTGTTGCAGTTCCTTTCAGTAGCATTTCCCGCGAAAAATCTCAAAGCTAGAATTTTGTTTAATGTAACTCATAATAGAACTGTATTATTTGCACAACTTTCTTTACAATAGCTATTAAGTCTGAAAAATGCAACTTTTTTTATCATGTATTTGTTCATTAACTTCTTATTAAAATCTTTTAATTTTCGATTATACATAGACACACATTTTATTTTCACAACTTTAAGACGACATCAATTCTTCTCAATCTACATATCTATAGTCATCAGAGGATACAAGTTTTGGCAGACAGCTCTATTGTACATTGTTAACAAAGAAAAGAAATAGACTTCTTGTATTTACAAAACGATATAATGAACACAAGTGTCTTATGCATAATAAATCACATGTAATCATAATGCAATTACAATTGTTATCTAAAATATTAGCAATTAATAATCCAGATATCTATAAACAATTATGTTATATTGTTCCAAGATGTCCTACAATATATATTGTCAATAAAGAGAAGTTTATTATCCCCAATATACATCATGCGCGCATCACTATTCACACACTGACGTTTCATGATTTGTTGCAGTGGCGATAGATCTGATAGTGCAGCACATAAGAGACTTCTTAAGCAACCGTGGTAGGGAAATGTCGGAGCCTGAAAGTCCAATAAACAGGATAGAGGAATTGTTCAAGAGGCCACATTAACTTTTGAAATTTTAATGAGTTTCACAGAGATCTGCTGATCCAATCATGTTGTGCTTCTTTTTGATACAGATCTTTTTCTTTTTTTGTATATGTAATCTCTTAATTATGTAAATGTAGATCATAAGAAGAAATCTCTCGAGATTAATGTTATTAGGAATTTTCATCATTGTTTTAACAATACTTATTAGAAGTGTTTGCATTTTGCAGTGATATTTGAATTAAAACTTGTTATAATTAATTATTTTGTGAGAGTAAATGCTTATATACAAATATACATAGATATGTGTATAGTATAAAGGATACACAGGATACGATCAAAATGCGTAGCAAACCTGCAAGAACAAACTACATGTAATAAGATACAAAGAATTTATATTAGGCAGAATAAATCTCTGTCTGAGTCTTACAATTTTTTATGTAATCTACAATTTGTTTTGCCACACTTTTGAACTATATTCTGTATCTGGAAACATCAAAAAGTACTATATCAAATAAAGTATACTGTTGCGTGCAGCACAGTTACCTATATTATTTTGTAGAATATCAGTTAGAGATTATTAAAATATAAAGCAATATTTATACAAGGAGCTGTACAATGTAAAATATAAATTATTTTTCTCCTGTTGATTTTGTGAATGATTATTCAATATGTTATATAATTAACTGTTTATTGTTATATTGAATGGCATAAAAAAAGAAAATATATAAAGTTTAATGATTATAATATTATAATTAATATTAAAACTGCTTTTTTTAATGCATGTATGATATATATTTTACATTTATTAGAATTATTGATAGTAGAGTTCTAAATTCATGCCATCGTGTATTTCATCTGAAATTAGCGCGATTAAGAAAAATATAACTTTGTATGAAATTATTTGTTTATAGTTCGAAAAATTATAATAAATTGTCTTAGTATATATTATATATACCTATGACACGATCGTATTTTAACAGAAAGGATACAATCTTGCAGCTTTATGTGATCTTTGAAAATGGTGTACCACTTTTTCAATACAATCTTCTCCCAGTGCGTCCCCGTCTGGGCGGCTATCAATTTTTTCAGATCTCCTATGGTGTCGTCCGGGTTGCATTTGACTCTAACCTTCTTACCGAGACGGTCGTTACATGTTATCTCTAACATTTTCTACCGTACCTGACAATAAAAGAATTTTGATAATATACTGCGCAATAATTTTACGTAAGTTACAACAATCAACATTTGTTTACACTCTTCATTAATATCGCAGACACGTGTCAGACATGTATTCGTGTCGTTTAATATTCAATCCAGATATCGCAGGCGAAAAATGATCGCACTTACTCTCGCTATATACTAAAATTGCGCGGCTTCAAATTTTCGCAGTGGTTCGTGAAATACGAAAAGACTAATATTGGGTCGATGACAATTCTAATTTTCGCTCTCTGATTTTGCGTTTTCTTTTTTTGAGGTTAAGAAGAGAAAAAAAAACAAAGTTCAACCAATTATACTCGCGGTCGATAATAAAGATTTCGTTATTTTAAATTTAAATTACCTACCTCGATAGCCAAAGACTACGCATTAAAAATTGAAGAGATTGAAGATTAAAGATTGGAATTTAACTAATCACACACACACAGAATAAAAGAAACTAAAATTTCTTTGTCCTGATTGGTCACATTTCAATTTTGAATCTTGAATCTCAATCCTCAATGCGTAGTCTGATACGGGCTTTACAGGCCCACAGGGCCTATTTCACCAAGTTCGGTTAAATTAACCAACGGTTAAAATTAGCAGGGTGGCCAACAGAAAATAGAAGTGAAGGAAAACCAAGCATTCTTATCATTTCAGTTGGAACCCTGCTAATTTTAATTGTCATTTAACCGGACTTGGGGAAATCGGCCCTAAAAGAGTCGATTATGTATCTTTGAAACAAAATGAAAATTACAAAAGTGTACAGATTTACTAGATTTCGACAAATGAAATTGTAAATACTCTAGTAAATTTACTCACTTTTGTAATTTTTACATTATTTTAAGATACACAATCAACCCCTTGGAGACACAACAACAATCGATTTTGATTGGATCTTACTTCTATAACCAAGAAATCGACGTCGAGTGTTGATAAGACGATGCTCAACGGTTGTGCCTCCAGGGTATTGATCATGTAACTTTTTCCCTAGGGCGGAAACGTGAAAAGTGAAAAATATTGGACGCGTTCGGCAGAGAAAGCGCTCAGTTATTGTCTTGTCAACACTCTACTTTGATTTGTTGGTTCTAAAAGTAAGAGCCAATCACGTTCGATTGCTACTAAACGGTTTTCTCTGCTGAACGCGCCCATTAAGGTGCCTTTTTACGCTGACGCTCGACGCTCATTTTTAGCGGCAAAATAGGTCACGTGATTAAAGTTGACGCTACATTGTGAAAAACGCATGAAAAGGATTTAGTATCGAATTTATAACGTCAATACCGTATGTAAATCATGTCATTCAGAAATAAATATTACATATGGTTAAGTGAGTGTACGAAAAAATTATCAGAACAAAATCGGCAATGTAAGAAACTTTTGGCAGCAGTTCTGATAAATGATCAATTACAATAACAGGAAAAAAGAAATTATTGTAGGAAACAGTATTGGGTAAATCCAATATTCATAGAACGATACAATCATGGATTTTACCACGCATTTTTTCCTGTCATTATTTTGAAAGAAGCACGATCCAGGAAAAAAAAATCTCATTCATATAGTCAACAGCACGGCTTGACGCTGAAGCTGAGGAAATCTAGCTTTTTTTCTTGACGCTAGCGTCGAGTCGAAGTCATGACCACATGCAACGCTGAAACAAGCGTCCCATGAATTCGCATCTTTAGCATTGCAATTCATGGCAAAATTTTTCACTTTTCATGTTTCCGCCCTAGAGAAAAAAGTACATGACCGATAGCTTAAGCCTGCGGCACACGGTACGATTTTGCGTACTAGATCGCATGCGAGACATTTTGCTAGCAATTACAATGGCTATGTAACTTGAAATATTATGTGCTGCGTGTTGCTGTGCGTGCTAACATGCTAGTTTTTGGTAATAGGTTTGGTGCTTTATTTCACTATGGTTTTGTTGCTAGCTGCAGACGATACTACGACAAAAACGCAAAAAATAAAAATAATAATAAATATAAAGACAAAAGTTATATATACATATATAAGTAATTATGTATTTTATTTATAATTATGGTGATATTAATTGAATATGTATATAATTAATTACAAATGACAGATTTTATAACCTAATAAAATTAAAAAAATTTTATTAATTTTTCCATAATAAATATCTTGAATCGTATCTTGACTAGATACGCAATCATTGGCTATTATCTAAAGGATTTTTGGAGTCTTGAAGAATTTTGTTAAAATCTCTAGAAATCTTATAACTAAAATATTAATCCAACACGTAAGATAATCTGCACGTGTGAAGCGAAAACTAGTAACACTCTTATGATTGGAACACGTAGAATACTTCGCTAAACAGCACGCAACGAATCAATTAACAAAATCAGTACAAAAAATCGTATCGTGTGCCGCAGGCTTTAGGTTTGTTCGCGTTGCTTGAAATTCCCAAAAAGTTCTGCACTGAAGACGAGATAAATATATATTCGGATGTTGAAGAAAGTGAAAGCGAAGATACTAAGTGCAAAAAGTTCAAGCAACGCGAACAAACCTCTTGAACGCACTCATTAAATGTATAAAAAGTGCAAAGAAAAAAAACATATCTATCCCCAGTTAGCCAAGTCTGTTCTAACAGATTTTGGCAAGGCCTGCTACAAATTATTGTCAGCAAAAAGGCTATGAATTGGGTACAAAAGTTGTTATTACCGATTAAGCTGGCAGATTGACGGCAAAAATTGAGCAAGATCTGGCGTGCACAATCTAATGGCATATTGGCAGCAAAAACCAAGCAGAATATGACAAAGTATTACAAAATTCTATTATTTGAAATAGTATAGTTCAGTCGTTTACCGCTATGCGGCGTGTTATTCATATCTATACTCGTATTCAAGTTTTTGTCATGAGTGTATATAAAGCCTGCAAAATGTGACTAATAATATTGTAATATATCTATCTCTATCAGTTCAATTTTTGACACGATGCCTATACAGGATAATTCAAATATTGAACTGATTTTTGGAAAATCGAACAAATAATTGTTCGATTTTTACTTAGATTGAAGATTAAAGATTGGAATTTAACTAATCACACACACACAGAATAAAAGAAACTAAAATTTCTTTGTCCTGATTGGTCACATTTCAATTTTGAATCTTGAATCTCAATCCTCAATGCGTAGTCTGATACGGGCTTTACAGGCCCACAGGGCCTATTTCACCAAGTTCGGTTAAATTAACCATCGATTTGTTGCGTCAATCTGTCGTTGCACTGCTAGTGACAGATCTGCTTTGGTGTTGTACCCAATTTGACATCAGGATATGATTTCAACTTTTGGTTGCAATTGGGGCGCAAATGGTTAGTTGGGTCATTAGTCTGGCAGTCCGTTCTCTGTCGGAGGTTGGGGATTGAGGCCGATATTACATTTGTCGTACGACAAATGTAATATCGGCCTGAGGGTGCCATTACATAAAGTTACGCTAATCCGCGTTTCCGCGCTCCATGTAATGGCACCCTGAGAGTGCGAACCCATGCAACGAAATAGCGTAACACGGAACGAGAGCGGAACCAATCGCGAGCGTTCTGCAGTTTTTGTTATGTTCGCGATTGATTCCGTTTTCGTTCCGCGTTACGCTATTCCACTGCATGGGTTCGCACCATAGACATAGTATATCTAGACCGAGCGTTTGCCTTTATTTAAGGAGTGGGGGTAAAGATGCACGTAGAAAAGGACATACTCTGTTTCGTGCTTCTTGCGTTCTCTCTCGCTCGCACGTAGCATAGCGTACTCTTTGGCTATGCTACATGCGAGTGAGAGAGAGCGCTAGGAGCACGGAACAGAGTATGTCCTTTTCTACGGGCACCTTGGCCCTCACTCCTCAACACTCGGTCTAGATATACTATGTCTATGGTTCGCACCTTAGAACTGTTCAACAGGATGAACTTCAAACAGCAAAAACTTGCGCCGGAAGTACGTCACCGATTCTAGTTACTTTCTAAACTGCTGCTGCTTTTCACTGCTCATGAAATGTTACCTGTCTTCATCCGGGCCTTTGGCTACCTGTCTATTAATCTGTGCTTTTGTGTACACACACATGGCCGTGCATGCGCACTTTTGAGCAGTTACTCACAAGAGAGAGGCAACAATGATTTTCTTTCTCACTTCCTTCCGACATGTTTTTCTATCGGGAAACAAAGGCATTCCCCTTCCATTTATATATGTTCTAAGGTTCCCACCCTGAGCGGTGATGCGGAGTGCGGAGTCGGAGCGTCGGAACGGCTAGCTATATATGTTGCGCTCTCCGCGAGGAGATATCTCTTCCTCGACCTCGACGATGCCATGTTACTATTGCTATGTTATTACAGGAAAGATTTCGGAGAGCGTGAGCGTGGTGGTTCACTGTCCGCTACAATAAAAATAAACGCTATCGCAGGTACTATGGCAAAAGCGGAGCGATTACGCTTCACGATTCTGGAGGACTTGATACTTTTACGGGAGGTTTTACGACAGAACCCGTACGAAGAAAGCGACAGGTGGAAGGCCGTTGCCGAGCATGTCGTAAACGCGACGCGGAAGAACTTCAGTCTGCGTTGCATCAAGGAGCACGTCGATCATCTGTTAAAAATTTGGGCGAGAGAAGGCCACGCACACTTGAGAAAGTAAGCGAGTGCTCGTCATCATATTTTGTAATGTATCGTTTTGTAAAATTAATACATACAATCTCAAATGCATTAGTGCATAATGCGGTATTATCAGCTGTTTTTTAACGAAACGTTTATTATGAAATAATGTATATATAGTCAAAGATATATTGTATCTTTTTACTTATTGATTCGCAGATCAGGAACCGAGGAACAATATAATGAAAAGGAGCAACTTTTGCAGCAAGTACAAGACTTACAAAGAGAATTCAGATGCTCTAGTAAAAGCTTCAATGCACAGAAATCAAAAATGCAAACAAGAGAGGTAATCTTGGAGAACATTTCTGATACTTTAGAGGTAATAATAGAGGAACCGCTAATGGAAACATCCTTATCAACATTGTTGCCAATTGCATTACCATCACCAACTTCATCGTCTTCGTCTTCGTCGTCGTCGTCGTCGTCATCGATTCTGCAATTCTCGGCGAGCCCATTGTGGTCGCCATCCACATCACCATCGAGAACGGGTGGTCCAATAAGGAATAAAGTGCGTCACGATGTGAAGAAGTCAACGTTACAATTTCTACAAGAAAGATACAAAACAGAGGTAGAATTTCAAGAAAAACAATTTCGCTTGGAGGAGAGGAGAATTCAACTTGAAGAAGAAAAGTTTAGAATGGAAAAAAAAGAACGCGAGGCGAGACTTGAATTAGAAATTGAAGAGAGGAAACAAAGGATCTCTGTATCCAAACAGAAACAAGAGATTCTAGAAATATTATTACAATTAATACATAAACCTTGATTATTTTTATAAGATACGTTTTTCTCGTTTTATTGGTTTATAAATAAAATTATTGTTAAAAAATACGAAGAAAGAAATGCATATTCTCTGATTTAATGGTGATATTTTGACCTTGAGTCACTTTGTGAAAGTCGAATGAAGATTATCTTGAATGTTTTAAATAGGTACTCCCGTCTTTTATTGTATATGTATATTGTTGTAGTTGATGTGGAGACATTTTTAAAATGATACAGTTAAACCCCCTTTTGTCAAGAATTTCCTGAATTATGGATCATCGAAATTACGTTACCGCTGGCATTAGCGTGACCCAAAGTATATCGTTAAATACCGTAGCAACGAGGAATTACGAAGTTCCGATCTCTATTTGACATACTCGCAAAAAAGATGTAAATACAATCGTGCAGCCACCACGTAGCACATTTTGGGTCACGCTAATGCTGGTAACATCATAAATTCGACGGTTCAACTCACAATTAGGAAGTTATTATTAACAGAAGAAAGTTTAATAATACAAGACTATTTTAGAAACGTCTCGACATCAGCTACAAAAATATATTTGAAACAAGGATTTATTCTTGTGATACATTTCTTCTCAAATCCATAGTTTTCGAAATATCAGAACGGTCTGTTAATTTTTCCCTGTATAAACATTATCATATATATAAACGCATATAATAAATTTTTTTTTATATTAAAGAGACGAAGAGTTATACATATTTAAAAATGATTATAATATATCAGAATAAAAATTGCGATATTTTTTCGACTAAATATGCAATTATAATTATATATAACGATAGTATAGTGGTTAGTATCCCCGCCTGTCACGCGGGAGACCGGGGTTCGATTCCCCGTCGGGGAGGAGTTTTCTTTTCTTTATTTTTTTTCTCTCATTATTATTATTTTATTATTGTCAATTATTAACCAATAATCTCTAAACACATAATGTTTATTAAATTTAAATTTTTATTCTTATTAGATAGAGAATCTTTAAGAAAAAACTGGATGTTTTTTCCCGTCATTTTATTAATTTAGCGCTAATTTCTTTTATTGATTAATCTGGACACAAATTTCTTTATCCTGATTGGTCAATTAACTGCTGCTTATTTTAGCATCACTTACTTTTAGCATCAAAACAAACTCAACTTGGGATTGCATATATCTTTTTCTCTCTCGCAGTATTTGATAAAAAATAATGAAAACCTCTGTTTTATAATGCGATTAAGGGTGACGTCCCATGGCGCGTATTGCGATACGCGCGTGTCAGGCGTATCGAACTCTGCGACCAATCACAGACGATCCGCCGTTTTTGATACGCCGACAATCTGCTGAATTCATAATTCGAGCGGATCGCACAATCATATACAGGGTGTCCCAGATCATTTGGGACAATACTCGTGTGCAGATAGAGCGGACCAAACTGAATCGAAAAGTCATCTATCATTTTTTTTTTTATAGCGCTTAATAAAGGAGTTATTATTGAGTTAAGTCTGGTCAATCAGCGCTAACCTTTAGCCGGGCGCACGTCGGTGAGCCGCGTGCCGTGAAGTGTATGCTGCCGCATACTACCAGGCGCGCAGCTCGCCGACAAAAAGATAACTTACTGATATCATTTCTAAGAAAATTTAATTAAGTCTTTAAAAAGTCCTCTTAAAGAGCTCATCCTCTCAATAATGCTCACTGGGTATAGTCTTTCTAGATGCAACATTGTGGACTCTCCCGCATGCGATTGCGGGGCTCCACAACAAGATATTGGTCACGTCCTTTGGTCCTGTCCGCTGCTCTCCGCACAACGTGGCTCGCTCCTCTCTGCCGTCGAGCGAGGGCTTGCAGTTCCTCCCCCCCTATGATATTTTTGAGCTTTTAAAATTTTCATCCTATAAAATTGTCGCTCCTATTGTTTCCTTCATAGACATAGTATATCTAGACCGAGCGTTTGCCTTTATTTAAGGAGTGGGAGTAAATATCCACGTAGAAAAGGACATACTCTGTTTCGAGCCCCTTGCGTTCTCTCTCGCTCGCACGTAGCATGACGAAAGAGAGCGCTATGCTCTGTGCGAGCAAGAGAAAACGCAAGGGGTACGAAACAGAGTATGTCCTTTTCTACGTGGGCATCGGCCCCAACTCTTTAAATAAAGGCAAACGCTCGGTCTAGATATACTATATCTATGGTAGGAACCAAACTCCGGTGTACTGAAAACAGCGGAACATCTGTGATTGGTCGCAGAGTTCGATACGCGCGTATCGCAATACGCGCCATGGGACGGCACCCTAAAGCCCGTATCAGACTACGTATTGAAGATTGAAATTTGTCCAATCAGGATAAAAGAAACTAAAATTTCTTTGTCCTGATTGGTCAAATTTCAATCTCAATGCATAGTCTGATACGGGCTTAAGGCCCGGTTCAACTTATAGCGTTTTCGAATGTAGCAAGTTTAATCGCTCTCAAAGCGATTAATGATGTCATTGCATCATATCTGCCAATAAAAGGCTTGAATACATAGTAAAATATAGTAATTAATTGAATCGGGTAGAGTTAACCCGTTCATTCGAAAACGCTATTACTTTAACCCTTAAGCCTTGTGTCCATGATGCTAGAACTCAATCCGAATTCTCGGACCGAGAAATGTGTAGCCAATCAATTTGCAGCTTTTACGGAAAAACGGCAATTTTATTGGCTACACGTTTCTCGGCCCGAGATCTCGGACCGAGTTCTAGCATCGTGGACACAAAGCTTTAGAACATATATAAATGGAAGGGGAATGCCTTTGTTTCCCGATAGAAAAACATGTCGGAAGGAAGTAAGAAAGAAAATCATAGTTGCCTCTCACTTGTGAGTAACTGCCTTATTTTTCATTGGGCCAAACCGGTAAGCCGTGCATGCGCACTTTTGAGCAGTTACTCACAAGAGAGAGGCAACTACGATTTTCTTTCTCACTTTCTTCCGACACTTTTCAGCCTGCTATTCTCCTTCCATTTATATATGTTCTAAGCTTTAACCGGAGTTTAACTCTTTAATGGAGGATTCACATTGCATCCGATGTCCGATGTACGACGTCCGATTGAATACATCGGACATCAGACGTAATGTGAATTCTCCATGGAACGGCTGTGATTGGATAGTATAGTATTTAGTACGTATTAAAATATATCGGTGTAAAATAGGATAGTAGAAACCAAACTTCAGCGTACTGAAAACAGCGGAACATCTGTGATTGGTCGCGGATTTCGATATACCTGATACGCGCATATCGCAATACGCGCCATGGGACGTTACCTTTAAAGTATATCGGTGTAAACTAGGCCATTTACACACAGAGGCTGATGGGTTCGAGACCTACATGAAGCTAGCCGGAAGAAAATATTAAATATGATTATTTTTAATTTTTCTGAATGTATTTTGTTTGTAAATCGTTTGTGATTGATTGTGAGTCTGTTTTTAATGTTTGTGACAAATTAGATTTTTTGTAATTAACAATTTTAGTTTAGTTATAATGTCAGCCGACACTTTTTAGTAATAAACAGATTTTGCGAGAGCTGATAACTGTAATCGACAGGAAATCGTTTGTGATTTACAAATATACCAATGTTACGTTTATAAATTGATAAATTTTTTATTTATGTACAAAATAAATTTATTTTATAATTGTAGTGCGCATGCGCAAAGTATACTCAAGACTCCTGCCTACAGAAAGCGCCTCGACGTGTTTATGCATAGCGAAAATCGTCCCGCGTGTCAAATAGCGTTTTCGAATGAACGGGTTATGGCTTCTACACACAGGACGCGGAAACGCTTGCCGCGCGGCAAAAGTTGACGCGGTAGCCAATCAACTTATAACTTTTCCATTAGAGCGAAAAATTGATTGGCTATCGCATCGTCTTTTTCCGCGCGGCAAGCGTTTTGCGTGTCCTGTGTGCAGAAGCTTTTAATCCAACCCGGATCAATTAATCACTATTCCTCAACACTCGGTCTAGATATACTATGTCTATGGTTCGCACCTTAGAACATATATAAATGGAAGGGGAATGTCTTTTTTCCCGATAGAAAAACATGTCGGAAGGAAGTGAGAAAGAAAATCATTGTTGCCTCTCTCTTGTGAGTAACTGCTCAAAAGTGCGCATGCACGGCTTACCGGTTTGGCCCAATGAAAAATAAGGTTACATTAGTCACAATGTGTGTGTACACAAAAGTATGTATACTACAGACACGATGCTTGTATGTATAGTTACTCACAAGAGAGAGGCAACTACGATTTTCTTTCTCACTTTCTTCCGACACTTTTCAGCCTGCTATTCTCCTTCCATTTATATATGTTCTAAGCTTTAACCGGAGTTTAACTCTTTAATGGAGGATTCACATTGCATCCGATGTCCGATGTACGACGTCCGATTGAATACATCGGACATCAGACGTAATGTGAATTCTCCATGGAACGGCTGTGATTGGATAGTATAGTATTTAGTACGTATTAAAATATATCGGTGTAAAATAGGATAGTAGAAACCAAACTTCAGCGTACTGAAAACAGCGGAACATCTGTGATTGGTCGCGGATTTCGATATACCTGATACGCGCATATCGCAATACGCGCCATGGGACGTTACCTTTAAAGTATATCGGTGTAAACTAGGCCATTTACACACAGAGGCTGATGGGTTCGAGACCTACATGAAGCTAGCCGGAAGAAAATATTAAATATGATTATTTTTAATTTTTCTGAATGTATTTTGTTTGTAAATCGTTTGTGATTGATTGTGAGTCTGTTTTTAATGTTTGTGACAAATTAGATTTTTTGTAATTAACAATTTTAGTTTAGTTATAATGTCAGCCGACACTTTTTAGTAATAAACAGATTTTGCGAGAGCTGATAACTGTAATCGACAGGAAATCGTTTGTGATTTACAAATATACCAATGTTACGTTTATAAATTGATAAATTTTTTATTTATGTACAAAATAAATTTATTTTATAATTGTAGTGCGGATGCGCAAAGTATACTCAAGACTCCTGCCTACAGAAAGCGCCTCGACGTGTTTATGCATAGCGAAAATCGTCCCGCGTGTCAAATAGCGTTTTCGAATGAACGGGTTATGGCTTCTACACACAGGACGCGGAAACGCTTGCCGCGCGGCAAAAGTTGACGCGGTAGCCAATCAACTTATAACTTTTCCATTAGAGCGAAAAATTGATTGGCTATCGCATCGTCTTTTTCCGCGCGGCAAGCGTTTTGCGTGTCCTGTGTGCAGAAGCTTTTAATCCAACCCGGATCAATTAATCACTATGTTTTACTATAAATTCAAGTTTTTTATTGGCAGAGATGATGCAATGACGTTATTAATCGCACTCAGAGCAATTAAACCTGCTACATTCGAAAACGCTGAAAATTGAGTATACTTTGCGCATGCGCACTAGTTCTGAGAGCGATTAAGGTCGATATTACATTTGTCGTACGACAAACTTTTTAAGTGCATGGATTAGCTAATTTCTAGAGATTCAAGAAAGTTTCTATTTTGCAGCCAATCAATATACTTAAAAAGTTTGTCGTACGACAAATGTAATATCGGCTTAAACCTGCTACATTCGAAAACACTAAGTGTCGGTCTACAATAGTGATTTAAGCTCTAAGCCTTAAGAAATTGACCAATCACGATCAAGTATGAGGAGAATACTCGACTGTGATTAGTCAATTTCTTAAGGCTTAGAGCTTAAATCACTATTGTAGACCGACACTAATAACGTTTTCGGACGAACGGATTAACCTAACCCGGTTCAATTAATCACTATATTTTAATATGAATTCAAGCCTTTTATTGGCAGAGACGATGCAATGACGTCATTAATCACTATAAAAAAGACCTACGTCCGAAAATGCTATAAAGGAACTAAAATTTCCTTGTCCTGATTGGTCAAATTTCAATCTCAATGCATAGTCTGATATGGGCTTTAAACTGTTGGACGAGATGGCGACGATAAGGGCAAAGGCCGATATTACATTTGTCATACGACAAACTTTTTAAGCATATTGATTGGCTGCAAAATAGAAACTTTTTTGAGTCTCTAAAAATTAGCTAACTAATGCGCTTAAAAAGTTTGTCGTACGACAAATGTAATATCGGCCTTAGGGCCAATTTCACCAAGCTCGGTTAGATGAACCGACGGTTAAAATTAGTAGGGTTTCAACTGAAATGATATGAATACTTGGTTTTCCTTCACCTTTATTTTCTGTTGGCCACCCTGCTAATTTTAACCGTCGGTTAATCTAACCGGACTTGGTGAAATTGGCCCTAACCGAGCTTGGTGAAATTGGGCCTTAGTCGATAGTCGCAAGCAAATTGACCAACCACAGTCGATTATTCCTAGAATATTCTTAGAATAATAGACTGTGGTTGGTTAATTTGCTTGGGACTAACGACTAACGACTCATTGTAGACCGGGCTGAAGGCGAGGATAAGCGACACGCTCGCGCGCGCGCAGCCGGCGCAGCGCCACCTATACCCCGTTCGGTTAAGCAAGCGTGGCTAATCAAAGCACCAAGAGGTAAGCTGCGAGGTCTGTTTATTTTTGATTTTTCGTTAGATAGCTGTAGCTCCACGTCGGCAATTTGCAAGAGTAATGCGCTTCTTCGTCGTGCCTCGTCCCGTGCAACGTATTCGAAAAACAATTGATCTATAGCAGCAATTGCCATGGAAACGTAGGTGTGAACGCGCCGGACGGGTCCGTAATTTGTCGGGCATTTTGCCTGGTAAAAGTCGAACCCCATTGCACACCCCGCGCAGTTATCTCCGTCTGTCCGTCCATCCGTTCGTCTGTCATTCCCATCCCTTCTTCCTTTTTTCGCCCTATCTTCCCTGTCATCCTTGTCGTCCCTGTCGTCCCTGTTGTCCCTGTTGTCCCTGTCCAGAGTCGAGAGTGTCGAACTCGTTTTCGCGTTCGCGTTCGCGCCACTCTAACCAACTAACCAACGTGCGCGTCGATAGCCGACGACGCGTTTACGCGGGTACGCATCGAGGCAACGAGCGAGAACGAGAATAGCGGCGCTTCGTCGCTTATATATATTCGCCGATACCTGGCCGCCCCGCGTGAATACGTAATAACGGGACTCTCCTCACGATTTCTTCTGCCGCAGGAAAATGAGCAGCTCCGAGGAAGTGTCCTGGATCTCGTGGTTTTGCGGCTTGCGCGGGAACGAGTTCTTTTGCGAGGTGAGTACTCGGGAAAATGCTCCTATTGTATATTGTTACATCTTCGTCACATGTATTTTAAACGCTCCATAAGTAATGTTTATTGGAACACATTAGGGTTTCGGAAAATGCCAACTTATTCCTACTGCGGTCTCTCATCCGCAGTGTGTGTGTGTGTGTGTGTGTGTGTGTGTGTGTGCGTGTGCGTGTTGTGTGTGTGTGTGTGCGTGCGCGTGTGCGCGCGCGCGCGTGCGTGCGTAGAAGTAAAAGCGATAAGCTTTTCTTATATAAATACTCGTTTAGATTTAAGGTAAGAATAATAAAGCGACAAAATCTCAAAGTAGAATTAAAATGATGCGTGAAAGTATAATCCTGTTTTTGTATAAGTGACATATGTGGTATATACATATTTTGTTAGTCATCTAATAAATGCTTTAAAATATACAATTTGTTTTCTATCTTTCTTTAAACTATAATCACGATAATTACACAAATTTATATTTGATATTTTAAAATATACATTTATTTTGTTATTGATACATTTTTTTATTTATATACGAGAGACATTCGAATAATATTTCTCACAGAAAAGTTTACAATTATAGATGTCACTTATTCTGTTTGTATCAAGGTGGATGAGGATTATATTCAAGACAAATTTAATTTGACGGGACTGAATGAACAAGTACCACATTATCGTCAAGCATTGGATATGATTCTCGATCTTGAACCTGGTAAGTTGCCTCGAAACAGTAACAAATGAAATTATTCTCTTTCTCTAATTATTAAGTATATAAACCGAAATAAGAGGTAAAAAAAATTGTCAAATACATATTACTACTCTTTTTAATACTCTTGTTGATTTTTACTTGTTAGATGATGATTTGGACGACAATCCAAATCAATCAGATTTGGTCGAACAAGCAGCGGAGATGCTTTATGGTCTTATTCACGCGCGTTACATACTTACCAATCGTGGCATCGCTCAAATGATCGAAAAATACCAAGCAGGCGATTTCGGCCATTGCCCGCGAGTTTACTGTGAATCCCAGCCGATGTTGCCGTTAGGCCTCAGCGATGTTCCCGGTGAGGCAATGGTCAAGAGTTATTGTCCCAAGTGCATGGACGTTTATACGCCAAAGAGTTCGAGACATCATCACACCGATGGAGCTTATTTTGGAACAGGATTTCCACATATGCTGTTCATGGTCCATCCCGAATACAGACCGAAACGTGCGGCAAATCAATTTGTACCTAGGTAAATAGAAATCAATCTGTGAATGATAAGCACTTTTAGTAATAGAATAATGATCGTACAGTAAAAATCCAAAATACTATCTTTGGCTGTAAAAATTTTAAAAGTATATGGTATTTTATTATTTTTTTTTTTATGATGAAATTATGAAAAATATACAAGTAGAGAAGAAGTTACTTTAATATAGATAAATATTGCTTCAATCGAAAAAATCTTATTAAACACAACTTTTGTATATAATTATATATAAATTTCGTGAAAATTAAAAATTTTTCTATAGATTCTATTAGTATACAATAATCAAAATCATATCATAATTTTCTCAATATATTTTCTAGTGATATTCATAATATTCATAGTTTCACGCACACACACACACACATGATAGATTGAGCAACAATGATCTTCATGCTACACTGTGCTTTTATAAATTGTACATGTTTAATCAGAGATAAATTAATATAAACACCTAAGGAAATTAAATGATATTTAATAATAATGATATTTGATAATAATTGAGACAAAATCAAGTCTTATTATATATTACTATATACTTTACACTATTTGTGAAGTTTTACTTTCTGTATATATGTAAAGATATATGAAATCCGAAAGTTAAAAGATAGATTTTATTTTTTTTCAGATTATACGGCTTTAAAATTCATCCTCTAGCATATCAGATCCAGCAACAGTCTGCGTCCACGTTTAAAGCACCTTTACGGGCTCTTAACTACAATAATGGAAAACGTTAAGGTCATTTCGGAATAGCCTAGAATACTTCCTTTCATTACTCGCAATTTCTAATTTCGTCCTGAAGATTTAAATAAAATATTTTTTATATCTCTGTTTCTCCTATGCAATATGTTTCTGCGCAAATAGGACATTTCCTATGTAGTCGCTCCTTGCAACTCTTTCAATTTACTCATTATCTCATTGCTCTTACGTTTTCGGAGTATCCGATATTACGTAAAGAGATGAGAAGAAAAAGAGAAAGAGAGAGGCAAGCACATTTAGTTTCGTCGTGTAAATCATTATCATAATTTAAATTGTAGTAATAATATTGTTTTCAATAATCGTTTACGCGAAGAACCAATATGTTTTTGTATAGAAACTTTGAACATAATCCACTTTAAAGGATAAAGGAAAAATAAAAAAACATACTATATAGAATAATTTCGTTAGATCATAAATAAGGAAAGACATGATTATAGGATAGAACATACATCCGTTTTGTACGAGAGTCGTTCGCATCATCGTATTTGCTGCCAAGTAGTTCCTAAAAATGTGCAGAAGCGGACTTCCTAAAAAAAGAGTCGAGACGCGGGTAAAAAGAGAGCGAGAGAGAGAGAGAGTACTCTGAGTTTCGCATTGATTCTTTTCAAGACGCAAAATAATGTATAAAGGGGAGAATATAGCTATTAAGTGTAATTTAATTTAATTGCCGAGTAATTTGTGCGCGAACTGTGACAGAAACAATTTATTGATATGTAAAATCGTGTAGATAATATATATAAATAATTTACTTTAACGCCAAAAAAATTATTGAACTTGAGACGCAATAATTTTAAAGAAACGAAAAATCGTGCACAACGTTCCACGAAGAATTAAAATAGACGATTATCTTGGTTTCTATCACAGTTTTCGAGACGTTTTTATTCACATTTAGCATTGGTGGAAGAAAGATTTCGCGCGAAAATTTAGAAAATAAAATTCTGTGTATAATTTTTAACGTAGAACAACAAAGCTACTAGTAATATTTTCTTCATTTCGTTTAATTGTTCGCAAAGTAAAGTTTTGAGTCAAATAGATTTTGTATCCAAATTGATTGATTTATATTAGAGAAAACTACTGTATCGTATTTTCGCTTTAAATTAAAGTACGATTTATTTACACGCATTGTGTTTTCAATATCCACATACATTTGTGAATTTGAATTTAAAAAGATTCATATAAATATGTAATTTAATTTACAATGCTGTATACATTTAATAATTGCATTTTTATTATATGCATTATATTTTACAACAGTTAATGGGCCTCCGTATAATCATCAATTACAGACAAAAATATCGTATACAAGATGTACGATCTTAAGATACTATGCGGCCATTTCATTGGTTGAATGGGATCTTAAGACGACCCAAGACCACACTTAAGACGATCTTGAATATAAGAACGGACTATGAATACCGGCCCTAGAATCGGTGCAGCTTCTGTTCCCAAGGCCATTGCACGTGAAAAATTGGTCTAGTTTCCACCGAAGTATTAATTCGCATCTAGCGCGGCGTAGGACCGCGGTTTCCACCGAAGTCATCGGTCCGATTCTGTTTCGGTGCGCATCGAATTTAACGTTTCCATCGACTTAAATTTAGTCCTACGCCGCGCTAGATGCGAATTGATACTTACGGTGGAAACTAGACCATTGTTACTCGTAACCGTAATGCCCGGTCTACAATGGGTGCTTTCCATTTAGTGACTCAAGTCGACACAAGCATCATTCTATCTCTGTTGTTCACTGGTATTGAAAGAAGATAGAATGATACTTGTGTCGACTTGAGTCACTAAATGGAAAGCACCCAATGAGTTGTTAATTGTTAGTCGTAAGCAAATTGACCAACCATAGTCTATTATATCAAGAATATTCTCGAAATAATCGACTATGATTGGTCAATTTGCTTACGACTAACGATTAATGACTCATTGTAGACCGGGCTTTAAGCCGATATTACCTTTGTCGTACGACAAATGTAATATCGGCCTTAAGGGTCGACAGGAGTGACGGGCAAACTCCGAATTGACATTGGAGACCTTGCGCGGTGAAAATGTGAAACTCAGGGTATCGATTCTGTAATTCAAATGAGAGTGAAAATTACAAAAATGAGTGTATTTACTAGGTTTGGACCAATGAAATTATGAATTTTCTAGTAAATTCACTCATTTTTGTAATTTTCACCCTTAAGCCCGAATCACACTAGCGGCTCGCGGCTGCGATTGCGATTGCCTCAGCCAATCAGAAAGCACCAATTGCAAGTATGATTGGAGCGTAGCAAATCGCAGCCGCGAGCCGCTAGTGTGATTCGGGCTTTACTTGAATTACAGAATCGATACCCAGGTTTCAGGGTTACCAACAGTGGTCTAGTTTCCACCGTAAGTATCAATTCGCATCTAGCGCGGCGTAGGACTAAATTTAAGTTGATGGAAACGTTAAATTCGATGCGCACCGAAACAGAATCGGACCGATGACTTCGGTGGAAACCGCGGTCCTACGCCGAGCTAGATGCGAATTAATACTTCGGTGGAAACTAGATCGCTGAGGAATGAATTCTCAGTCTCGATATATAGGTGTATGTCTGTATACGTACACACACGATTGCATCGCTCGCGTGGACACACCGTGGAGAGGAAAGATAGAAAAGGATCAACGATCACGCTATCCTTGTTCCTCTAGCGTATCTCTTTACGGCCGAGATATAGCCTGAAAATGCTTTCTGGCCTCTCGTAGCAGAAAGCAGTAATGCAACAAGACTAATGGGCGCCCACTTTTTGTAAATCTTATATTTGTTTATACACATTTATGCGTATATATGTATCAATAATATCTAAAAATTATATATATATGATTAAAAATTGTATGACGATAAAATAACAACAGTAAAATAATAACTCAGAGTGAACTAATATACAATATGTAAAACACGGGCACTTATTAAACTTGACAATTTATTGCTTTCTTATTTGTTGCTTTTTCATCGATACTTTATGTATTGTCAGCATGATAGAGCGACAAGGAGAGAATGATTGTTAATTCTTGGCTTACATTATCTTTCAGTAATTGCAAATTTATTGACCGACAATTATGCTATCTTGATTTCTTTTCGATTATATCGATATTATCGTGTAAAAATATCTGCTACATAAATACTGATAATATGAAAGCATTTACAAGAAATATGTGATGACTCAGTGCAAGGAGTGTTCAATCTATCACGCAGTAAACTGCCAAGGTGCACGTAGAAAAGGACATACTCTGTTCGCTATGCTACGTGCGAGCGAAAGAGAACGCAAGGGTCACGAAACAGAAGGTCTGTTCTTTATAGCTGAACTGGCTGCACTAGTTCAGAGCTTATCTTTCTCCTTCTAACGGGGAGAGAAAAAGATAAACTCTGAACTAGTGCAGCCAGTTCAGCTATAAAGAACAGACTCAGAGTATAGCGGGGAGCACACACTTTTGCATAAGCGCATAATCATAAGCATGAGGAAATTGATTGGTCCATTTTTTTATGCATAAAGAAATTGACCAATCAAATTCCTTATGCTTATGATTATGCGCTTATGCAAAAGTGTGTGCTCCCCGCTTATGTTCTTTTCTACGTGCATCTTTACCCCCACTCCTTAAATAAAGGCAAACGTTTGGTCTAGATATACTATGTCTATGGAACGGACTATGAATACCGGTAGTTTCTCCACATAGGAGGCGGCAACGCTTGTCGCGCGGCAAAAATCGCGGTAGTCAATCAACATACAATTTTTTCATAAGGGCGAAGGATTGATTGGTCGCCATTGATCGCATCGCTATTTGATTGCGCGGCAAGCGTAGCCCATAGATATATAGACTGGATTGAGCATTGTGAGATAGACAAACGTGCGCTTGCTGTAGAAAAAGAGGTACTATATGGGAGGCCTATGTTTGTCTCTTTTCCTATCATCTCATTGGTGATCTAACGACTAACGACTCATTGTAGACCGGGCTTTATAGTTTTCTACCATAGATATATAGATTGGATTGAGCATTACGAGATAGACAAACGCGCGCCTGCTGTAGAAAGAGAGGTACTATATGAGAGGCCTATGTTTGTCTCTTTTCCTAGCATCTCATTGGTGATTTTCTATATGGAGGGGGATAAAATCACCAATGAGATGCTAAGAAAAGAGACAAAATAGGCCTCCCATATAGTACCTCTCTCTCTACAGCGAGCACGCGTTTGTCTATCGCAACGCTCAGTCCATTCTATATGTCTATGGTTTAACCGCTCTGAAAGCGATTAATGACGTCATTGCATCGTCTCTGTAAATAAAAGACTTGGGCCGGTATTCATAGTCCGTTCTTATATCCAAGATCGTCTTAAGTGTGGTCTTGGGTCGTCTTAAGATCCCATTCAACCAATGAAATGGCCGCATAGTATCTTAAGATCGTACTTAAGACGATCTTGAATATAAGAACGGACTATGAATACCGGCCTTGAATTCATAGTAAAATATAGTGATTAATTGATCGGGTTTGGATTAACCCGTTCATTCGACAATGCTATTAGTTATCGTTTTGTCAACACTCGACGTTGATTTGTTGGTTCTAAAAGTAAGACCTAGGCCGGTATTCATAGTCCGTTCTTATATTCAAGATCGTCTTAAGTACGATCTTAAGATACTATGCGGCCATTTCATTGGTTGAATGGGATCTTAAGACGACCCAAGACCACACTTAAGACGATCTTGGATATAAGAACGGACTATGAATACCGGCCCTAATCACGTTCGATTACTGTGAGGTTTTCTCTGTTGAATTTGTCCATTATGGCTGCGTTTCGATATTTACTGCCAGTACTGAAAATATATAGTGCACGTGACGTAAACTATACATTTTCAGTACTGGTAGTTAATATTGGAACGCAGCCTATGTATAGAGATCAGTGTGATGCGGGCTTTATGTTATTTCTCCCACGTTTCCATGAAACTGTCCTTCAACTCCGATTCTCCGACATTCCCACCAATAAACGCGATCCTTGCGAATTCAAATGCTATGATGTAAGATGTAAGGCAAAAACCGGTAGAGCCAAAAATTCTCTCAACGTTTAAATTACGTTTAAGTTTTGGAAGTGATACTTATGCATAAAATATACAAACTGATATATCATATCAGGATCATTTTGTATATATATATGTATATATATAAATCTTTATATGCGCATGTGACGGCCTTGTAACGCGCGTGTACGTGCATACCGTACTTTTTGTCGACGATTCTCTTTGTTAGGTGTTGTTAGGCCATTCTATAACCGGGCTGTATAATTTGACAGATGTGTATGGATACATGCGTATGCTGAATCGAGAATGCTTCGAACACTCGCGGTGAAAGTATCCTGGTGATTTCACTTCCTCTTCGCGTACTTCATCGTTAAACCAGGAAGCCTAATGTCAATTTAACTAATTGATTTTTAGCTTATAAATAATTCGAAACGTTAAAACGCTTTTTCTTCAGGTAAGTACTTGCTTCGAAAGTTTACAATTCTGATCGGAAATCTGCATCGACAGATAAAAGAGAAAGACAGTAAACAAAAATTAACTTTTCTACACGTATCTGCTTTTTTAGAATGATAACAGTTGCAACTTTATCATTTGTGTACTAATAAATATTTTTAAATATTTACATTAATGTATTTCCCTCTTTATATTATTTACTATCTTATTTATTTATTTATTATAATTTATATGTACTTTAAGAAATAAAATGTACAAACCATTAAAAGATTTTATACAGATTTGCAAGATAGGAATTCTTAAGAGCATTATAATGCAGCTGAAAAGAAGATTAAT